TTTTGTGACCAGTTTGAGTTGAATTTTTATTTTGATTCAATTTTAATTAATTTATTTTTCCTGGAAATTACTAATACTCATCGGAATTCTTGGACAAAGAAATTTATTGGAAATTATTCGGAATTCCAAACTGGAAACTGTAATATTATTCTTGGTGATTCAAGAAGGAACTGTTGACATATTATGACAAAGCGGGTAATTGAAGAAGTCATCCCATCCCATCCCATCCCATCCAATCCCATCCCATCCCATCCCATCCCATCCCATCCCATCCCATCCCATCCCATCCCATCCCATCCCATCCCATCCCATCCCATCCCATCCCATCCCATCCCATCCCATCCCATCTTGGAACTTCATCGGGATTCAAACTTTTATTCACTTAGAACTTTTTATTGATAGGACCTGTTTTATTAATTCTAGGATTAATTTTGGGTTAGTTTCGTAAAACGTAAGTCCTTTTTTCTTGTTTTTGCCTTGTTTTCCAAGAGAAATAAATTATTTTGTTAAATTTTACAAAGCTTGTTGGCTTCACTCTGTTCTTTGTTACTTTTGTACGAGCTCAAACACGTGGCAATATGCATGGATAACGATGGTTATATCTTGGATGATACCAAAGCATGGATAACGATGGGTATATCTAGGATGATACCAAAGCATGAATAACGATATATCTAGGATGATACCAAAACATGAATAACGATGGGTATATCTAGGATAATACCAAAGCATGGATAACGATATATCTAGGATGATACCAAAGCATGGATAACGATGGATATATCTCGGATAATACCAAAGCATGGATAACGATATATCTAGGATGATACCAAAGCATGGATAACGATGGATATATCTAGGATGATACCAAAGCATGGATAATATATGGATTTATGGACCTTTATTTCTCCAATCAACTCTAATAATCGATGTGTCTTTTAAAATTTATAAATTGGATTAGGAAACAGAAAAAAATCGCGTCAACACTTGATTGTGAGAATTACTTTATGATGCTCCCTTTCAAAGTGGTAGTTAGAAATGGCATTCAAAGAAAGATTCGAAGCCATCCAAGGGTACTCCAACAAAATGTGCTGCTTCGAAACTGACTGCAGGTGGAAAGGCTTCGTCTACTTCTGTATTAGTGAAGTTCTTATTGTAAAGATATTTGCCAGAAATGCTTAAGCAGAGATAATAATGATATCAGTTTTGTATCAATCAATCTTTGTGATACGAATCATAGCGCAGACAAATGTTTAAGCAGGTGTGCAGTGTATCATTGCAGTTGGCAATCATTTTTGCATCAGATCTTATCTTCATTCCTGATTATAACGCCAGTTGACTGAAATTTTACTTCAAAACACAAACAAGTGTGTAAGTGTTCGTGTTCAGGCTCTAATATGTATTGTTCATGATATAATTTAGGTTAATGTGCAATAAGATGTTTGTCTATATTGTGTTTAATTTTTCAGCAGAGCTCGGTGTAGCAACCACAGTGAAAAACTTATTTCATGGCTGCAGGACTGTATGTAACAACAGTGAAAAAGACTTCCTGGTTGTAGGCTTAAGTGTAGGAATCCCAGTTCCTGGTTGTAGGCGTAAGTGTAGCAATTCCAGTTCCTGGTTGTAGGCTTAAGTATAGGAATCCCAGTTCCTGGTTACATAGTTCGGTTTAGTAGTCTCTAAAGACCTCATAAGTGTAGGGCTCGGTTTAGCAATCTCAGTTCCTGGTTGTAGGGCTAGGTGTAGCAATCCCAGTTCCTGGTTGTGGTGCTTTGTGTAGCAATCCCAGTTCCTGGCTATAGGGCACGATGTAGCAATCCTAATTCATGGCTATATGGCTCGGTGTAGCAATCCCAGTTCCTAGTTGCAGGGCTCGGTGTAGCAATCCCAGTTCCTGGTTATAGGGCTCGGTGTAGCAATCCAGTTCCTGGTTGCAGAACTCGGTGTAGCAATCCCAGTTCCTGGTTGTAAGGCTCGGTGTAGCAATTGCATTGAAAAGAGACTTCCTGGTTGCAAAGCAGGATTTCTAATAAAAGGTTCTGAACATGGATATGAACTCAACAAATATGTGTGAGTGTGTTTGTATGTACGTGTGTCTGTGTATGTGCGTGTGTTTGTATGTGTGGGCATGTGCAACAATATTTTTTTTCAAATCTAGTAACGATATGTAAAACAGTTGCGTAAACAGTGGAAAGAAGAACGTTTAGAAATAGAACAGCGGTTATAGTTGGACTTTATGTTTGTCATAATTGAGTTTTAGTTTAATCTTTAAAATTACAACACAACGCATGCTAGCTATTCAAGATTTCTTCCAAGCTCGTCATTACAGATTTCATATACTGAATGTGCAACATCAACAATTATCATTTTTGTAAACGTTGTTTCCCAAATCCCCACAATTACTTTTCAACAGAAAAATCCAAAACACAGAGCATCAACAACATCAACAACAGTTCAAATTGTTGTCAAGATGAAATATAGCCTTCAGGGACTGATAACGAAGGAAATATCAAAACCTGTGACTCTGAGAATCGAGTTTGGCGGCTGAGGAAACTAATTGTCAGGACTGGCTTCCGTTTTCGATCTTACTGACAAGAAATATGCCAACTCCCTTTTCTGTAATTGCCCGTTTTCTTCGAAAAGTGGTTTACTATCTCAGACCGTTAATGAAAAGAAAAGAAAAGCAGTTTACTTAAAGTGGGTTTGGAATTAACTCCTCATTAATATATATATATATATATATATATATATATATATATATATATATATATATATATATATATATATATATATATATGCGCAGTTTTCATCAATAATAGAAACTCCGTCTGAAATTGAAGTCAATTAAGAATGACAAGGTAAAGAACAAGGTTTGGACTTTTTTATGTCTCAATTTTGGTATCTCTGGCTTACTAAGCTGGTAGACTCTCTTAATGCAGTCAGAAATTTTCTTTTTTTTTTCTCGCATGTATCTCTAAACATGCATTCAGAATATTTTCTTCTCTCTTCTAAGTATATGAGTAAGTCTTTAGCTGTTGATAAACATGTGTAGTGGTATAGTAGTTTTGCTCGATTGCATATAATTGGGTGAGACAAATAATTTATATAAAAACATATATAAATGTGTTCTTCTGCTGTCCTATAATGCTAGACCGTGTCATATATTTGTGAAATTGATTCAAATGATATCATCATATATAGTTGAAGGTATCAAGCATAGTATAAGTTATCAGGTATAGTTGAAGTTATCGGGTACAGCTGAAGTTATGCATATTTGAAATTTATCATGTATAGTTGAAGTTATCAATGTGTGTGTGTGTGTGTTTTAGAAACTATATGTTCAAATGCATGCGTTATGCTAGATTCAATTTCAAGAGGTACATACGATTTGCAGACTCTTGTTCTATTTCCAAAAACAAATAAAAGAGCCAATAAACATCTTAATTAACTTCACATGAAATCCTCACGTCCCTAGAATTTCAATTCTAACCATGATGCACTCTCTTGAGTGCTCTGAAACTACTCTAGCAGGTGGCGCCATCTGAACAGTAATGTTGTTTCCTTTCCTCGTCGACTCATCGATAACTAATGAATTATGTATTAAAGTGTGATCAAGTTTATAGGATTAATCAGGGCTGATTATAGTTTTAATGGTTATAGACAATTTGTCAGCAGTAATACGATTAGTACGTAATCACTACACAATCATTAACAAATAGTGCTGACGTTTTTGTACTTGTTGACCTTGTATATGAAGCACCCGCAATATCGCATCTTCGTCACAATTTATTCTAATTTAAAAGACGATATGACAGGGAATGTCCTGGGTGTATACAGTTCGTTAGATGCAAATGTTTACATAAAAGAAAAGAAGCTTTTAAATATATATGTAAAGCCTGAGAATTCCAATCCCTTCCCATGTTCCAACTAAATTTTAAATTTTGCAAATATGTACAATGGTTTTTATAATATTATTAAACTTTATCAAATAATATCAATACATTTTTGTATAAAGGAAGTCCTCTCAAAAATTGTTCTTTATGTTATTTAAAGATGGCAATCCAAGATATGATAGCTGTCTGCTGAAGTAAATTACAACCAGAAACAGTGCAATCTTCAAACACTGATATGTAACAGCGACTGCTCGAGTGGTGTCCAAGTTCCTTAACTCTTGTTTTCAAGATGGCTGCCGTGTCAACCATATCTTAACGAACTTTTTAAGAACGGAGTTGTTATCGATCATATTCTAATCTGGATGATCAGTTATGGTAAAGTATATTACACTTATGTCAAGTGACAATTAAATCTCCATATATTTTATTTTTTTTAACCAAATTAAAAGTGTACTGACGTAGAAAAGACGAAATATTTTATAACGATTCGTATACAAAGTCCCTATAATAAACCTAGACGAGGAGCAGGGACCTTGTAAATATATGAAAAATGAAGATGGAATTATGACTAAAAGCGCATTTAATTTTTAAGAATTTTCTGCAAGTTCGGGAAAGTCGGAAGAGGTCTGACACAATATAGCTTTGGTAAGTACCATGACCTGGCAGGTTTGATTTCACCAACAGAACTAAACATCGACCAAAACTTTCTGTTTATAATCCGACGATTTTATTGACTGAATTTGTTCCTGACTTAGAATTGAACAATAAGATATCTTCAGTCTAGGCGTAAGAATTACTTTGATAAGAAAATTGGGCCTCGTCCATCAAAGTTTCTGACATGAGCACGCAATATTGAATGCATATTGGGAACCATAAAAGCCCCTTTCATGTCGTTGTATCATTTGATTTTGCAGACTATCATAACTGCTACTTATTTTAATCTATACGACTGAGCAAAATGAAAATCTTCTTCACTTCCTTTAAGTTTTAAATATTTCTGTTCACCTCATCCCAATCTACACGCTCTTTCTTTTTTTTTTTTTAGCTATGACGTATATTGTTCACCATCAGAACAAGACAATAATACCATCATAGCTTTAAGACAGCTCTGGTGGCCAGTGGTTAGAACGTCCGCCTTGAATGCGGAAGGTCGCAGGTTCGAACCATGGCCTAGTCATACCAAAAACTTATAAAAATGCTACTTACAGCTGCATCACTAGGCGCTTAGCATTAAGAGGTTATTTCCAAGCCTGTCTGGCCTGGTGTCAGGATAATATGACCAGGTAGGACCTGATGCTGTATGTCTACGGCATGATGCTTTTGCTACACACTTGCTGCACTGCGATCTGACTGAAAAATTGGTAAAGCTATGTTAACAATCCAAATCACACACGCACGCACGCACACACACACATAGCTTTTATATTTACCGCTTTAAGTTTGTATGATTTTATCAATCCAAAGGTTGCTCTCTTACTTTGAATCGTATCACAATTGATTGTGCAGTTCTGGTAAGATCTAATAGCTTTAACTCAACAGCGAAAAAAAACAAAACCCTACCAACTGAGACACTGACAAGATTGAATTTTTGACGTATCTTGAGGAAGACACATTACAGAGGAAACATATGTTCATCAAAATGTCGCTTTAGTGTATAGTGAATTGGAAAAGCATTTAGAAATAACGAAATAATTTTACAAAAATTTCGCGTGAATCTCATGTCTTTATAGACAACGAAATGTAAAACACGTATTTCTATAAATTCATTGAAGTGTCACATTTATGTCAGCACTTTTATGTTCATATTTTCTTCAATAAGTTTACTTTGTCAGAATCGTGCAGCATTTTTTATTACTTTTTCATATTAGGCACGACTTTGCAAACAAACAATGTACGCTTTAACGTTTGGTTTATTTTATTTGCTTATGGATGAACTAACCAACCTGCTTCATCCATCTGAGATGATAAACTTAACGATGTGGACTATGCATTTTATGGCTAAGGGCTCTCACATATCTATCAGAGACGTACCATTATACAAGTCCGTCAAAACACTAAAGTCTATATAAACTGAAATTGAAGATTTTTGTAGGAAGCTAAAGGTCTCAGAACCGAAAAGCCAAGACGATGAAAAAGTAGTATTTTAAACTGAAATAGCATTCAAGACCGCTCCGGTGGCCAAGTGGTTATAGCGTCCGCCTCGGATACAGGAGGTCTTAAGTCTGAATCCGACAAAGTCATGCCAAAGAATTATAAAAATGGTACTAACAACTGCCTCACTACACGCCCAGCATCAGGAGGTTTGTTGTATGACAGGTCGGCCAGGTGTCAGGATAAGGTGGCTGAATGGAATATCCTGCTACATGTCTGCGTCATGATGTCCCAGTGAAAGACATCACTGTAAACTGCCACACTGCAGACGTCGTAGCAATGTGACTGAAAAATTGTTAAAGCTACGTTAAAAATCCAAATCACACACACACACACACACACACGTGCGTGCACATTCACCTTACTGCATTAAACTGACCCAATAAATCCACCCTATCATAGGCAGAAAAGCGGAATTTAGTTGCGTCAACAGGAAAACAAACTCTGTCTATTCCAGATCAACTGGACAAGTTTTTTCATTCATAATATCGTTTTGAATATCAATTTTAAGTAGACCAAAGGGAAATTTTTTATAACGAAGTTCAAATGTCGCTGGGCGGTGCTGTGTACGCATTAATATAGTTAAAGTGTATTGATGAATTTACAGCTGTGTATTTATTTTTAAAAAACAGTATAAATTCAGTTACTTTATTTCTTGTAGTGTATTCCTTTATTACGAATCCCGAGGAAGGAATACGAAATGAGTATATAATAAAAAGGTTACTGTATTTGTATGGGAAAAATGTGAACTAGGTTTGTTTTCGGGCTAATTCTGTACTTCCCAGGTCGTTAAACTGTCATCAAGTTTGACACGTTAGACGAACATTGGGTTTGACTTATTAGATGAACATTTGGTCTGACAAGTTTGATGAACATTTTGCTTGACACGTTAGATGAACATTGGGTTTGACTTATTAGATGAACATTTGGTCTGACAAGTTTGATGAACATTTTGCTTGACACGTTAGACGAACATTGGGTTTGACTTATTAGATGAACATTTGGTCTGACAAGTTTGATGAACATTTTGCTTGACACGTTAGATGAACATTGGGTTTGACACCTTAGAAGAATATTGGGTTTCACCTGAACTTTTAGTAAAGGAGAACAATTTGTAAAAGATTGAAAACAAACTTCGAGTAGGAATAAAAGGTGGCATACGTATAACAACTTATTTTTGAAAAGTTCGGTAAGTAATTATACTTTATTTCGAATCATTGAAGTAAACTGAGTTATCGGATTTCGAAAGCCGCCTTTCCAAGCAAGTAATAATATTTTTTTTTTCAAATTTCGATGTCCTTAGTTTTCATCTAAATTACAGTGCTTATTTCCTATGTCGAGCTCCTCAGTTTTCATCTCAAATACTTTTATTTCAAATGTCGAGGTCCTCGGTTTTCATCTTGAATACAGTTCTGAAGCAGGTGAAGTGTTACAGTTTGCATTGTTTATATATATATATATTTGGCTATTTCATATTCGTCTTGCTACCGTATATACATTTATTTCAATATAAATATTGATTGCTATTAATCGAAAATAAATTGCTGCGGAAGAACTCATTGGTATTTGGTTGTTGTTTGATTTCTTTGTGGGATTTTTGTGGGGTGGGGGTGACTGGGTTTTCTTGCAGACAGTTATATGATTGTACGAGATGATCATTTGAGTGTCATGACTTTTCGAAACTTTCTATATCATTACTAAAATTTACCGATCCTGGAATCACAATAAATAATTATTAAAATATTCAACAATTAGGGCATTGTAGTAAAATCATTGACTACACTGGTAGCACTTTTTTGATTGTCTCTTTTTTCTTGTCAGCTGCACATACGAAAGGCCTCTTCGTAATTAATTCTCTCTCTCTCTCTCTCTCTCTCTCTCTCTCTCTCTCTCTCTCTCTCTCTCTCTCTCTCTCTCTCTCTCTCTCTCTCTCTCTCTCTCTCTCTCTCTCTCTCTCTCTCTCTCTCTCTCTCTCTCTCTCTCTCTCTCTCTCTCTCTCTTAAGAGTAACATTATTGGTAAAGCCATATTCTTGTGCCTACCAGAGATGAACAATTTAATGCAAAAATTGCAACAATGACGTGGTATTCATTTCATTATGGCAACCTAAAACTGGAAAGCAATTAAAGTCCCAATCAATATTCTTTAAAATGTTTCTTCCAGTATTCCCAGTGGCTCTTGAGCGTTTTACTTCGTACGCTCCATGCGCATCAGTTTTCACGACTTATTACTTTATTTCTGTATTTTGTATGTCTCAAATGCCTAAACAAATTATTTAATGGATTCCCCGTATCTCTAGTTTACTTTTTATCCCGAATTATAATAACCATTTTGTAATCCAGTACGATGAAGACATGCTTAAAATTTTACTGTTTTCATTTTGACTAAAAATTTGTTTTGTGAGATATTTGAAGCTGTTTTGAACGTGGCTTCTCTTAATTTCTGAAACAAAATATTAGTCAGCGGAATTATACACTATGATAGAAAAATGCGTCCCATGATAATATATTTTGCACAAACGGGAAGATATTCTAGTCTATTATATAGCTGATGCCTTTGGTTTCATTATAATGTTGGATTACCCTTCAATTAAAATGATGTAATTCTCAAAAATTATATTTTAAAAAATTAAAGTAATTCACCTAATTGCTTTCGTTAGAAAGCTCAAACAGATGGTTTGGTAAGAGTTATCAATTCAAAAGGCTCAAAACGTTCTCGACGGAGGTCATTCAAGGAAGAATGGTAAAATAAACAGATTTTTGCACTGTCATTGTTTAATTTGTAAATTTAGAAATAACATTTTGTATTTGTGAGAATGTTGCCAATACTGGGGTTCGGATCTGAGGCGTCTAGGTGCAATGTTTTAAAGTGACCCCCCCTCACTGTTCGGCACTGAAAAGATTTTTTGTCGGCATTTTTCCCCCTGAAACATTTGGCTCTGTATTGTTTCTGCACATGAAGGGATGACCCAACCATATAGGCAAACTAAAGCGTTTTCCTAGGCTCTAGATTTTAAGGGGCTATAAATTATACGGAAGGAGAGAGAGAGAGAGAGAGAGAGAGAGAGAGAGAGAGAGAGAGAGAGAGAGAGAGAGAGAGAGAGAGAGAGAGAGAGAGAGAGAGAGAGAGAGAGAGAGAGAGAGAGAGAGAGAGAGAGAGAGAGAGAGAGAGAGAGAGCGCGTGTGTGTCAAAAATCATAGTTCGTCTTGGGCGTCAAAATTCTCGGGCCTGCCAGTCCCATGAATTAGGTAGCTCAAGGATGCGACTTTTATATCCAAAGTCACAAAATATAGTTGATTATTTTTCTCAAATTATCAGGTAAAAGCAAATTCGGGTTTTAAAAATTGGCTCTTATCAATCGTTAAAGAAAGAAAGTTTCCATGGAAACATTTCGGATCGTCTATAAGAACATATAAGATTTTTGGTTTTCCGAACGAGCATTCAGCCTGGAGAAACTTCCTCAATACTGAGAAAGAATATGGAAAATATAGATAAAATGAAGACATGCGAAAAATAATATTGAAATGAAAAGTGATTGTTAAAGAGAGGTGACCGCTATACGCTATTACAATTTTCGACACACTGACCTACCACTTTTTATTAATAAGCCGAGATACGAGTGGTTGCTTACAAATGAGTTATGTACGCGGCTCTAAATTCGTTCTAAAACTGCTAGATACACCGAGAATTTTAAGCAATTAAATCAAAATAACAGTTATTGACATGGGCGGATCCAGAAATATAATTTGCTGGTGATGGGTGTAAGCACGTAGGCAAGGAATCTGTGGAATGGACTCCTGGTGGGGGCTAAGTGGGCGAAGCTCAACAAAACATCCACATTTTAACCGTAAACAAACCACACCCGAGGAAACGTTCCGGTTGTTTCGTGCTAAGTTTTCTTTTCTTGGGGACGGAAAAAGTCAACCTGACTGTACCCAGCCCACCCCTAAAAATTCTGACCCATCTTTAAAAGTAATATTTGAATTTAATTTTAGAGGAATGTTTGCCAAAGACGGAAATCGATTTCA